CAGGAATGCTGAACGATATTCGCTCATAATAATTACTATTGGTGAGTGTTGTATTTCTGGAGGAAACAGTAGTTTCCAAGTAAATCCAAACAAATCTGGCTATCTCTACACTTCTGTCTCTATCTTATTTACAGTTATCAGCACTTCCTTTTTTCTAATGCCTCGGGAGGTTAAAACCAGAGCTAAGATGATCCAGGAATTATTCTTGTCTTGACATTTCCACTGTCCAAGAATGAGCATATGTTAAAAAAAAATACGGCCTCGCTTTATTCCAGACCTTAAATGGCCCCCTGAGGCATTAAGCAAAAATGGGGTCAGAGTACCAGCTCTGGCTCTTACGTGGGTGTACATCAAGACTGATGCAGCTAATGGCTGGAAGATTGTGCTGGTGAAAGATGAGAGCAAGTCAGGTCGGCACCAGGCCCAAACACTGGAATGCACAAGTACTGAAGCCAAGACAAGGAGGTTCCTATGGCACCCTTCACCCTTTGAATGTCGTGGAAAGGGAGATGCTGCTGTATAGCTGTATAGGCACATGGTGCTGCACAAGGTCCCCTCTGGTGCTATTTCCAGCTCCATTAGCTGAAGACTGAAGGGAGGGTAACTCCTGGGACTGGGCATGGAGCAGACAGTCACATGTGGTTCAGAATTAGTCACAAGCCTGTAGCAAGATAATGACACCTGTGATAAGAAGAGACTCGATCCATCCTTCCCCTTTCCTCTGTTTCTTGCTCTGTCTGGACTGGAATTAGTGCTGGTGAAAGAGGGCTGTGTACTAGTGATCAATGTCTACTGTAGGATAAATAATAGCTTATCTATTTATCTGTCATCTCCTTTGTTTCTACACTCTCTCTCTCTTCCAACCTCTTCCTTCATAAAGCAACTTCACAGCTCTGCCCACGCTCCACAGCCCCAACCTGTAGTGCTTATCCTTGGCTCGGTCTCTGTGCTCTCTTCCTACATCCATGCATGGCTTCCACTTGCCATGTCTAAAAGACATGCAACTCCCAGTCACTGTCCCCAGGAGAGTGAGTCCTGCAGGAAACGAAGACACCTGGTACTGCTTCTGAGTCCTCACTGGCCTGGCTAGTCCTGTTCCTACTCCGTATGTGAGGTGGCTCTGACAGCAAGGAGGGCACAGTTACACCCTGCATTGGGGCTGAGAAGATAATGTGGAGGAAGGTAACTTTAGAGGAACACCCCGCTGCTTTTAATTAACTGTGCAAGGAGATGTCCCAGCAGCGGGTCAAACTGGATGATCACAAAGAACTACAGGGGAAATGATAGATGCAGAGCCCACTTTGCGCCTGAGCAGCACTTGTTGTGGTGGGCACCCCAGGGCTGGACCACTGTGCTCTCCAAGCGGCAAGGGTGAGAGTACCGTCATCTCTCCCTTTCCCTGGCTGCCTCTCTCATACCTCCCCTGCATTCGGCACAGGTCTCTCCCCAGTGGGGCTGGACTGCCCCATACGGCACCTGGCTTCCCCAGGACCTGCCTTGAGCTCCTGTCCTGTTGCCTGGTGACCTTCACCTTCCTCTGGCGTAAAGTCACAAGTGTCTGTTTGTCTTTGCTCATGGAGCTGTGCCCACGGCTGAAGGAACACTGTATCCCCACACTCCCTTGGGTGAAGGCCCAGGACCTGGTACGCATGACTGTCACTCCAAGTTTCACTTTATTTCCAAGTATTATTATGGTGTTTAATTATCCCTGGCCACCCTGACCTCTCATCCCCCGAGGAAAACAGCCCAGCTCTGTCAGAACATGTGGGAGAGGAGCGGGTGGATGAGACAAGGGAAATGATATTATATGGGATGTTCCTAAGAAGCAAGTCTCCTTTTTTCCCCAGGCACCATAAAGTTGTTTGCTGTGATTTAAAGAGGACATGTTTGGTTAAAAACCACAGGCTAGATCTACAGTCCTTGCAAATCAGAACATCTCTGTTTGACTTCATGGAGCTTAGCTGATTTAGTCCAGCTGAGACACTGACCCTCTGTGTTTAAACAAAGCCCATTTTTTCTCACTGGTGTTAGGCAAAAATGTCTCGGTTTTTGGCTCTGCAAGGAATATTTCAGTGGGAATGTTCTCGGCATGATTCATCATCCACTGGGCTTGATTTTGACAAGAACTGCAACAGCCACTGGCCACCAGCGTGGGTCTGGGGACTCTGCCTGTAGATATGGGCATATCTACACACAGCCAGACCCCAGGCTGCAGAACCTGGACAGCAGTGCAATATCAACCACTATAAACACTGGTAATAAAAGCCCCACATAATCTGAGAAGGCCAAGCATGTTCTTCTGGGACGGTTTGGCAGCAGCTTTATGGTGACCTCAGGCCTCAGTTCAGGGGAAAACCCAAAGGACTGACCTCTCCACTGCATGAGCAGTGGAGACCTCCTGTGCAGTCCCCGCTGCCAGCATGGAGATGAACACCAGCTGCTGGGGGGGAGAAGGGTCTTGTGTTTTGCGGGGAAGCCAGGTGACCTCGTCCTCTCCGATTCTCATTTCATTAGATATTCAACTGGCCAAGGCTGCCTACATTCCCAGGTGTGTTATCTGAGCAGGACAGCTATGAGATGCCACTAGCGAGGACCAGATCTGTGCACACACAGGCTAGGATGCAGCTGTGTGGCACTGAAAATAAGCCAGAGATGCAGTTTCCTTGGTACACGTGTAGGCTCATGTCTGAGAGGGCTGAGGGCTGGAGGAGTCTGTAGCCATCTCCTGGGAAGGAGGACAGGACTATTTTGTGTGCAAAGTCCTGAGCCCAGGGCCCAGTTGCCATGGGGAGGGACTCCAATGTCAGGTGAAATAGCTGCAGCAGGCAAGCTGCAGCGGGAGCCAGGAGAGCTTCCCCAGGTACCAGGCCAGATGCTGGGACCTGGTAGCTGGCATGCCGAGTGTCCAGCACCCAGGGAGCAGACATCTCTGTGTGGTGCTCTGGGAAAACCCACGGAGCAACGCAGAAGATATTCTTGGATCGGTTCTCCCAAGAGCTTGCTATGTTTCAGACAGGACAAAGATTTACCTCCTCTGAACATAGGGCTGAGGTTCCTCTAACAGCACTGCAGGGATGCTTGGTAAACAAGCAGTAAACAATTCCTTGCCTAGATGATGGATGCCTTCTAAGGATTAGGAGTGCAAAACAGAGTCAGCGTTTGCAAAGAGAATTGAGGAAATAAATGTTCTGTGTTTAACATTTATAAGTAATGGACCGTATAAGTGAGATGGAAGGACTTGCAACAGGTTCTTTCTATGAGGCCCTGTCTGGGTGACAAGCTCGCTGGCTTTCCAAGCACAGAGCCTGTTACAGACGGACCTGAAGAACTAGCCATTTCTCACTCTGCACCAGTCCAGACTGAAAACTGAGGATTGTTACTAACAGGGAAGCAGGACTCGCCCGAATGAGGCTGCAATTGTTGGTATTTATTGCTCTCTGGTGGTGAGAAGGGCTACAGAGGAAAGCTGAGAGTCTCTTTGCAGCACTGAACCCCAGCAGCTCTCACAACCAGCCTCCTCAGTGCCTCCCACCTGTTCTTTCCATAGGGGAGTTTTTCTTTTTCCTCCAATTGCTGTAACTCAGAGCATCTGAATGCAGCTCGCTGCCTGCCTGGAGGGCTGGGCTCTGTCTGCACTTGCCAACAGCCTTTGCAAAGACAAACCACAAGCCTCTCCTTACCAAAAATCCCACCTGCCCCAAATCAGGACCTCCCTCCCAAGGCATTTGCCATTTGCCAAAAAGCAAGCTGGTGTGGTGAGCTTAACTGTCAGCTTCCCCAATTCTCCTCCTTCCTGCTGGGTGCACAAAACCATACTGGACTCTGCAGATTGGAAAAGAGATGGCTTGGGAGGGAGGCAACAGGGCACTGCAAAGCAGGACCAGTGGCTCGGCCTCTTTTCCCATACAGGAACCATGGAGCACTCACACCACAGGAGTGGGCCTGTAGAGCCCCTTGCCAAAGGAGAGTTTAGATGTCAAAAGTTCAAATGGGGCCCAGGGGAACCTGGCCAGGCTTGCAGAATGGAAATCCAGGGAGGGCTACTAAACTCGGAAAAAATACATTCAGATCAGAGCATGTTCTCAGCAGTAAAGGGGCAACCAGATTATTGTTTATTCTTGGCCTGTTTTCACTCTTCCCTATGCATTGAGCTATGTCCACTGCTGGGACAGGATACCTGGCTACATGGATGACCCACTCCACTCTGACCTTCTGTGCTTTCCTACATGCTCTCATAGCCTGCTGCTGACAGAGGCCCCAGCTTAGCTAGCCTAGTTCTGTCCCCACCTTTTGGCGATGGTGGGTTCTCCCTCCCCACTGAGCAGTCTGCCACCTGCATACAGGATCAGTCACCCAGGGAAGGGTTATCTGGCCATTTTCACTCTTCCTCCCTTTACTTATTCTGCCTCTCACTGCCAAGAGTTTTGGCAGTGCTTTGTACGAAAGAGGACTCGGAAAAGGCCAGTGGTTCTGCAGAAGTGTGGGTCACAGGCCTTCTTAGAGCAGAAAGGACAGGAAACAAATAGAAATAAATAAAGGAGTTGCTATTGCAGTTAAAATACATTTGTGGTTGGAGGCATTCCCTTGTAGGCTGCACTGCCCCATAGGACCCAGGAGGCAGCGGGAGGCAGGTAGGACAGGACACTGGCACAGTTTCCTCTGTGCTGCTGTCCCAGGCAGGCAGCCGCATTCCTGGAGTGCCATCTAGCGCCCAGTTCCACTCCACCAAACCGCTGCAGCACCAGATTCCTGGTCCAGGCTGGCAACTAAGTCCTCCTCCTGCCTTGCCTCGTGGTAATACCTCACATTGTCCTCTCTGTGCAGTTTGCTGCCATGGATGGATAGCCAGCCTCACAGCAGTGCTCTGGCTTGGAGGAGACTAGGACAGTGTGCCAAGCGCTTGGTCCCGTGACTGCTGGAGATGAGAAGATAAAACACTGCTGACCTTCTCAGGAAGCTGCACAGGACCTTCTGTAGGCCATTTGTTCTGGGAAGCACATGGACCTGTGCCAGCCAGGTGCAGAAAGCTGCCTTTGCTGGCTACACTCAAGTCCACCTTGGTGGTCGGTCAGACGATGTGCCCTCCTTCGCTCAGCCACCTGGCCCGATACATGGTACAGCCTGGTATGTCCACGTGACAGAGAGGGGCACTGTAGATGTGACCCAGCTTGGCATGAATGACGCCTTGCAGCTCCTGGTCTCCCACCTCAGTTGCTGCGGCAAGGGCCAAGAGGAAGTAGCCTGCTGCATCCTGTTCATCCTAACCATAAAGAACAGGGGCAAGCGTTAGGAAGTGGCTTAAATGAAGGTCACACAGGGTGAGGGAACTGGAGCAGAGCCCAGTGGTTCCAGGCAGAACCCTGTGACACTTAATAGAAATAGGCTCTGTATTGTCACAGCTAAATGCCAGCACTTCTTTCCAAACTGCCTTTCCCCCCTCAAAACCTAGTGCGCCAGCCAGCATTGTGCATATTTATTCTAAAGCTGCTGAAGGACGAAGGGTCACAGGATGCAGCCATCTACATGTGTGGCTGCTCTGTCAGCAAATATGATACTCCACCTTCAGCTCTTCATCAAGACCAGTATGTTCAACACAGCATCACAGAAACAGGTTTCCTACCTTCAGCTTGTGCAGGGTCAGGTTGCCAAGGTGGCAGTACACCTTGGAGTAGTACAGGGCTTCTCCAGTGCACTGCAGCAAGGGAGAATGCAAGGCAAGCGTCTTCAGGTAGCAGTCTTCAGCCATCTCATACATCTGCAGAAAATAGTAGACTGTAGCCAGGCGGTGGAACGCAACCAGCTCTTGTAATTGATCTCCTGGAAAAAGAGTTGTTGACACAGTCAGCCTGCAGCATGCTCCCAAATCATTGCCAGCCCTGCACTCCGAGCCACTCAGGAACGCATTTGCTCAACAGCCTTGGGGGTGTAGACCTCTTCATAAGGAGTTTGAAGTTTGAAGATGGCCCAGAGAAGAAAGAACCGTGGGCAGGGCTGCTGATAGCAAGGTAGGACAGATTGCCCAGGGAGAAGGATTGCTTGGGTGCTGGAAAGGGCCATTGCGAGACTGGTTCCATGTCAGACACTTACGCTGGTATTTTGCCTTTTTAAACTGTTCCTGTAATGGGAAGGCATGAGTTTATCAGAAGAGTCAATGTAGAGAGGAACGGTTGACTTTGTGCCTTCATCATACATCCTGTGCTCTGGTGTAGCAACAACCCTCCGCTCAGCCCAGTCCCACCACACCGCAGCAGAGCACTTCCATATGGCTATTAGGCAGCTTAAAAAGGGAAGTGGCCTTAAAAAGATGTTACACTTTAGGATAAGTCCAGAGGTCTTATGAAAGTAGAAATATCCTCCTTCCACATGCATACTGTTCTTATCTGGAGAGGCAGCCCCTTCCCCAGGATCTGGTAACTCCCTGTACCCCTCAGGTATGCATCACTCACCCACCCTGGTGCTCAGCCTGGCTGCCAGAGTGGCAAACTCCAGTGCCTTCTCGTAGCCCTGCAGCCCAATCTGCAGCTCTGCTAGCTTATTGAACAGCCGTAGCTCTGTCTTAATGGCCTTCAGTTTCCTGGCCAAGGGCACAGCACCTCCCTGAAGAGAGAAAACAGTGATTCCATGCCATTTCTAGAGCTGTTGGTAGTGCACTAGTGCTTGGCAAGGCAGTCAGTCTATGGGGTGGTTTGTTGCTACAGCAGGGTGCTGGATATCCTGGTTCTAGTCTTACCTTCCCCTTAAAACTGAGTCTCATATCCCAGTGTGGTCCTCAGAAGCTCACATCTCTGCCGTCCCTTAGGTGCCTGAAATTTTGACTCTGATCATGTCCTCAGGAGCGACCAGCTCACATCTAAAGCTGCCAGGTTTTATAATGTAAGGCTCTTGTTCTTAGGCCTGCTTAGACCATGACTGGGGCCAGGGTGTGTAGAAACTGCAGTGCTTGCTGCGGCCTGCCCGTCCCAGCTGAGGGTCTACACTGGAGGAATAAGGTATAATTCCTCAAAGCCTGGCAGGCACCTCCCTGAAGGCTTTAGCTAGGTGCTAAGCTCTAGAGGTTTTAAGAGACATCCATTGTCATCATTTCCTGCTAGCAGTTCCCTGCTCAGCCCCCTGTCCTGTGAAGTCTCCTCTGTGCATCATCCAGGAGGTCAGATAGCATCTAGCCTCCATACGGTACACTTAATCTTGTCTGGTTTCCTGGGCCCTAAGCATTCCTTCATCTCACACCTTACTCGCTAGCCTATGTTCAAATCCTCGGACTCTGGCCAGAGGCTGTCCAGGAGAGTAAAAGGGCAGTCTTGCTCGGAAACCCTCCCACCGTTCTCAAATGAACTCTGACGAGATCTGAAGCTATTGCAAAATGTGTTTGTGATCCAGGCTTCCCCATTGCCCCATACATAGCAGTGTTCACATTCTGGCACTCTCAGAGTTACCCCATCTCTCTCCAACTCTGTCCTTTCAGCCTGGCCATGCAGTGTTGCAGCTAGCCCTGGGGCAGAACTCTCTGTGGCTGTCACCTAGTAGGAATACAAGGACAAAAATGCTCAGAGCACTCAATACCCTATAATACTCCACTGCTCGATCTCTGTTTCGGTTGCCATTAAAAAAGGTATCACCTGCTTTTTCATAAAGGTCCATGGCCAATGAGAAGTCCCCAGATTTCACAGCAGTCTGAATGGCTGCCTGGAAGGAAAAGGAACTGAAGTGAGACCTGGCAAGAGACTTATTTGAACACAAATAAGTAAATCATCATAGATGTGAATCTCAGTGCTCCAAACGGCATGGATACATGTTATCAAGCAGGTGTATGGGACTGTTGTGATGCATTTGCAAGTGATGGGAGCAAGGATGGAGCTGGGAGCCAGACAACACATCACTATGCTGGGATGGTGTGCCAGGCTGATCAACTGGTATATCCAAAGGCATTCAGATTTGAGTCAGGACAGTGCAACCAGCACCTGTCTTGGCCCTGGGCTTTCATTATGCTGGGATGGAGCCAACACGAAGATCAATGAGGAGAACAGATAGCCTGGACAGAGAAAGGGCAAGGCCAGCAGGAGTGAGGGCAGGCACATTAACTTCTGTGAAGTTGTGCCAGTTATGTACTTGGCCCTGGTGTCATCTTCTAGTCAGAACATGCATGTTCTTCCTTCCAGTAGTATTTCCTCTTACGAACCCACAGCTAGTTGTGATGGTAACGCGGCTAGCCAGGATGGGAACGGGGAACAGTACAGCCGTCTCCTCCATACCTGAAAGTACATTTCCACCAGCTCGTCATCCTGCATGAGATAGTAAAGCCTGCCTGCCTGCAACCAGGCCTCTGCTGCTTTGACCGTCTCCCCAAGATCAATGAAGATCCTTAGACTCTGCTTGGTGCAGTCCAGGGACTTTTTCAAAGCTCTGTGATGGTAACAGGCAAAAAGGCATTACAGAGACATCACAGAACACCCCCAGCAACCAGCTGCAAACCTACCCCAGCACCTCCCCTTTGGCGATCCTATTTTCTCCTCCTATGGTTGCTGTTGGTTAGAGGCAAATGGACAGTCACAGCTCTTATCGGTGTGTCCTGGCAAAATGCTAAAAGTCTCCATGCTTTAGTGCATGCATTTGTGTCATTCGGCAACCTCAGGCCAGCCTGGGATGGATGCCCATCCTGCAGGGTTCAGCATAGCCTCGTGGCAGCCTGCTCCCAAAGGAGCTGCTCCCCACCTCTGCTCATTTCAGCTGATAAAGAAGGTTTTGCCCGGGTCATCTGCAAACCCTGTTTGCCCACCCTACACTAAACCCAAAAGTCACACCAATGCATAGCACTCCCAGCTACATATGGGAGAACAGGCTATGAGTGCTTGCATGCCTTCATTTTCCAGATAGTATCTAGTACCCAAAACTGCATCTCTGCCTATTGTTTGTCCCTTGGTGCAGCCAAAGAGATGGGTTTGTGGCCAAATGTGCAAGGCCTGGTAGCCCCTTTACAAGCCACCAGTCTCCAGAGGCCAAAGGGACAAGCAGCAGGATAGAGTTACCAGGCTGGACACGGTGCCTCCAGAAGGCAGCCAAGGTGATGGGAAGGATGGGCAGTGCCCAAGGTATGTTTGTTTGCTTGGTGTCTCGCCTGTTGGCAACTGGACTCCAGCTGTCCTTTGATTTCAGCGAGTAGGGTGCTTTGTGGTCTTAAATAGCACCGTTCACATGACAGGCGTCTGCTTCCTAAATTCCTTCCCTCTGAACTCACTGTGACCTAACATCCCAATTAATGACAACCCTTGCCCGTTTGTCCTTCTGGGGACATGGGAACCAACTCTCCACTATTTCACATATTTACCTTCAAAAAATAAAGAAAGTCTGTTGTCTGTCCAAGTCTCTTTCACTCCCCTTCTGCCTAATCTAATCAGTCACCTGCATGTGTCAAACTGTAGATTGAAAGGTGAACTGATACAGCGTTTTAAGTACATCCCTGGGGAAAATATTCCAGCAGAGATAGGAAGGGCAGACTCAGTGGCTGAAAGCTGAAGCCAGACTTATTCAAATAAAGATAAAGAATCTATTTTTACTAGTGAGTGGTAATTAATCATTGGAATAAGCCACGAAAGGAAGCGATGAACTCTCTGTCTCTGCGTCACCTCAGATCAAGGCTAGATGTCTTTCTGAAAAACTGTGTTTGGCCAAACCCAAGTCATATCCTAGCTAACAGCTCAGCCTTTACTGAGCTGTCACAGAGGTTTGGCTGACATTAAACTGTTCCCCTCTTCACTGCACAGTGACAGCTGGCCAATCTCAGCATTTCACTAACTTCAGCAGCATGCAGGAGGTGTGGTTAGAGCTACCACACGCTTTCCATCACTTCTCACTAGAGACCCTTGCTCCAAAGACCTCAGAAAAGCCACTGTTCCTGCTTTGGGTGGGCAGAGACACCTCTTTATCAGCATCTGCATTAGAAAAAGCCATGAGGGGGACTTACTTGGACGTGTCCAGAGCTTGATAGAGCTGGCTAAGGGTCTGCTGGACATTGCCTTCCATCTCTCTGTCCTGGAGCTGTTGTGCCAAAGATACCCAGTGCTCATGGTAGGTAATGCAGGCCTGGAGATTGGGGGATACTTTGTTGTAGAAATGGCAGAGAGACTCAGTAATGTGAAGCTGACCTGCATGGTACAGGGAAGGGAAAAGTACAGATCAAATGGCTGCACTAGGGATCTAACAGGGTGCCGCACAGAGGTGGACACTGCCCTGGTTCCCACCAGCAAAGCTGTACTCACTCCTCACATTATGCCACTTGAGGGCAAAAAGCAGTGCTAGTTCATAACAGAGTCTGCCATCTTCTATCCTCTGCCTGTTTACCATGGCCTGTGCTAGCCACAGCAGCACCCAGCCCAACTCCATCTCCAGGTCTTCACTGCCCTGGAGTTCAGCATAGAGCTCAGCAGACTGGAGCAGGTAGATCTCAGACAGCTGGCTTGCCCCACGTGAAAGGGTCAGCTGCCCCAAGTTAGCCAGGGTGATAGCCTGGTTCCTCTTGTTCCCAGTCTCTTTGGCTTTGTGTAGGGCCTGGAGGAAATGCTCTGCAGCTTTTTGCACCTGCCCTTCTCCTTTGAGGGCAATGGCCAGGAGATTGTGAACGGCTCCACCCTGAGTCACGCTGTCTGTCCCATGCAGAGAATGTAAGAGCTGCCACATGATCTCTGCAGCTGGGCCCGGCTGGCTGTCCAGGAGATACATCCACCCCAAACAGAGAGAGGACTCAAAAGCCTCCTCCTCACTCATCAGCCTGCTGAGAGCTACAGCTGTGGCTGCGTAACAAACCGCCCCATCCAACACGCCATGCTGGAGGTACATTCGGGACAAGATGGCACACAGAGTCCTCTGGGTGGGCACAGCTCTGTTGTCACAGGAGAAATTCAGTGCCTGCTTGAGATAGAAACAAGCCAGTGCTGGGATGCTGCTCCTTTCTAGTTGACTTCCCAGGAGCTTGGAATTATTTTGGAGGATGAAGCCAGCTCTCCAAATGGGTGTTGGTGCCCCCCTGACACCACTGGGAACAAACAACCTGGCAGAGGCCAGTGCAATGTTTGGTAAGTACTTCTTGTCATACAAGTAGCTCAAGATGGGGGTGGCATCTAGTGGCACAGCACTGGTGCCTGGACTGAGTAAAGTGGTGGCAAGGCATTGAAGACGCTCAGTAAAGGGCAGAACTTCATCATTTTTGCCCAGTAGTAGGAAGAGCTTGACAATAAGGAAGCAGATCCGGACCTCCAAGGGAGCATTACCCACAGCAATGGCTTCTCTCAGGATGTACTTCATGACTTCCAGCTCATTCTCCGAGCTGAAAGAGTGGCCAGGCAAGCAGACGAGCAAGGTCACTGTTTTCCCCAGCAAGGAGGAGAACTTCTGTTTCATGTTCTGTTTCAAGTAGATGGAAGCAAGGTTCACATGCAACGCAGCCAGCAGGGGCAGATCCCCAAACCCCCTGTCCAGGATGCTCAAGGCTTCCTCAAAATAGACTCGGGCCTGGGAGAACTTGACCTTTTTGATGCAGAGCTTACCCAAGAGGAAACAGAGCCTGACGTGAGCCCAAACTGAATGAGTCTTCTTGGCCCAGTTCCTGGAGGTCTCAAGATACAAGACCAGTTCATCCTCATCAGAAAAACCATAAAAAGTGGAGTTGAGAAAGGAAAAACTGAGATCGTAGAGGCTTTGAAAACTGGGCACGTAACTGTCTTGGTTAAGGAAGGTCAATATTGGGTCAAAGACGTCAGCATCCTCCATGTGTCCAGCATTCAGATCAATGAAGAACTTGGGATCATCAAAATCATCTGGCTTCTCCAGGAAAATATCTTCCAGCGTAGCAGGGGCTGATTCACTCCCTGGGCTAGACTTCTCGGAGGTGCTAGGTGTAGCCAAGCCATTTATTTCCTCCCAGGACTGGAGCAGCTGGATATTCTTATAGCCTTGGAGAACAGCCTCTGGAAGAGACAGGCAGATCACAGTGGGATGTTCCCCTATGTCAAAATTCACTCTTTGAAGTCATCAGAAAAACATCCCATTCTGCACCCTCCACATACTCACCTGATGGTATTTTTGGGAATGTGGTTGTGGATTCAAAACCATCTACACAGACAAGGAGACAAACAGAAAACAAGAAGCCTAAAGCCTTGGTCAATGCTAGCATGCAGACACAGCACTCACACCTTACAGAGATCTGCTGCTGCTCTGCTAAACCCCAGGGCCTGTATTTGGGAGAGCAGGCTCACTTCTGGGCCTGGACAGCATATGCAGCTACAATTGCAACCCCTCCTTCTGGGGGCTTGGATCAACGTAAGAACATGCAGAATGGCTGTCAGGTGGTGGTGGGGTGAGCGCTGGCAACATCATAGTTACCCAGGAATAAGCAGGTCTTATTTTTCACAGGGAGGGTTTTATCAGCTCTATCGCTCTTTAGAGCTCTGTTGTGATTATTCAGAGGTTTCAGATATTCATGTAGTTCTGACAGGCTTTACCTCCAGGTTTATTGCACCTGAACTGGAGCATCTGGTCTCTGAACTGGCTGGTCTGAGAGGTGGCCTGAACCCCACGAGTTCCTAAGGCTCAGCCCTGCATGACCACATTGCTCTTCTAGGCAGTGAGAAGGCAGAAAGCTGAGGCAGAGTAATTAGCCGTAGTCCAAAAGCCACACAGCAAATACAGTGAAACTGAGAACAGCACCCAGGAACCCTAGCCTCTTGGCTCCTGCTCTGGGCACAGAGACAATATCATTGTCACTTTAGCCATGCAATGGTCTTCAATGTACACCCAAAGGTTAGACTAGAGCAGGAGACTGGCCTCTGCATGGACCTCTCAGGAGAAGCCAGATAGCCTTTTTTTTTTTCCATTGGACAGGAAAGAGTTTCATTTCTCCCTGCCTCATATTTCATCCTTTTCCAAAGCCTTTCCTAACCCTCCAGTCTCTCTGAGGAGCTCAGCTGGATCACTGCAAGGTGGTCAACAGCCAGCACCTACAGCCAGCATTAGTCCAGAGCAGCATTTGCCAGGGGTGGACCACAGCCCTGGAGGCAGAGAAAACTCCTCCCAATTGTGTGACAGGGCCCAGCTCTTGACGGTATCTACAGCCTCCATGACCAGGCTGAGCAGAGGGCTCAGAAGTTCTTCCAGTTGCAGCAGTTCTCTCCACTGAAAAGCTCAGAGCAAGAAGCTCTTTGGAAACATCCCAAAGCTGCTCTCCGAGGGCACCAATAGGACTAGGCACCTCAGAGAGGGGAAACTCACCGAGCCGGTACACAGAGGTGATGTCAGTGCAAGCCAGGTCACTGAGAAGAGTGGTGAAGTGCTGCTCACTGCCGTTGCAGGGGATGCGCAGGAGGGAGACTTTTTCTTCTTCACTCAGAAATACCAAGCCCTTTCCCCTAGGTCAAGGCACACATCAGGAGAAAATAGTCAGTGTCTTCCCCTCCCCCGACTCTACTGCTGTACTCTGGGATGCAGATGGGCTTTCCCATCCCTCCTCCTCCTCCCACCAGGAAAGCTCTGCCGCAGACGGATGCCAGAGTCTGAACACCTTCCCCATGAGGTCTCTCAGGCCCAGCTCCTCCATGGAGGAACTGATGGATGCCAAAGGAAGGAACCCATTGGTCGTCTTTGTCTCTAGAAGGGTATCAAATCAGAGCCATATCCTTAAACCAACACAGGAGCAACTGCCAGGGTCTTCAAAGTGGGATTGTGTCACCCTCCTTCCCCCAGTAACTCCTGTCATGTCCTTAGAAGGGTGTACAATTCTGCTTCATGAGGAACTGTGTTGTTCTGCCTTAGCATCCCACAGAAAAAAAAAAAGGGCAGAAGGAAGCAAAGCAAGCCTCTTTTTCCTTGGTGGCGCTCACTGTCCCCCGCCCTTGCCAGGCTGACAACCCCTCAGACAAAGCTACAAAGTCAAGAACATTTCTAGCTGAAACAGTGGAGCCAGCTGGTCAGTGACGTAGCTGTACTGGGCTGTCTTCACCTAAAGCGAGGTCTAGCCCAGGGCCAGATCTGTTCCTGTCTAACAATCACTGTAGACAAGTGAATTATGACAGCTTTGTCTGGGCAGAGATTCCTGCAAGCTGTTGGCAGAAGAGCTTGGCCTAGGCTTCTGGGTAAACCTCAAATGGATCCTCTGTGAAGGCCTTGCAAATCAAACAACCTGCCCTGGATTCTCACATGCACTTGAGTTGAGACTCAGAGTCCACCCTTCCCTTCCCCTAAGCACAAGTTCATCTACAAGGTAGCAGTAAACTTACAGAGGTTCACAGGCCTCAGGATTTATGCATCTCACTGGGACAAAGCCGATGTTCCCACTGCTTAGGGATTTTCCCACAAACCACGACAGTCCTGGAATAAGGAAGCCAATGACTTCTATGCTGTCTCCCTTGGAGAAATTCAGTTCATCCCATGCTCCTCCTCTGTGGTCCTCTGTGGCTGCGCATCTGCCTTTGACTGAGAAACAAAGAAAACTGCATCTCAGTGTGTAGGCCTGCTATTTAAAATTCCTTGCCGGAAAAAACCTAGGCAAGGAGAGACCACAAATTTAGCTTGAGAACGCAACCCCTCTGTCCCCTAAGATTTATTTATCCCTCTCAGACTCAGACCTCTGCAGTTTCTTTTTGAGAAGAGCATTTTGATAAAATACACAATAGGCACAGACAAAACCCTGCAAAGCTGAAGACTGAAACCTCTGTCAGTTGCAAGTATAGAAGTTAGCTGGGAAAATGAAATTGTTGGAGCTTCACAGAAGCTGGCCTGTCTCAGCTTTCTGCCAGAAGTGAATCTTTAACAGGGTAAATGTCCATCACACTATGCATCAAGTTCACACCTGCAGTGACCTCCCACGTCCAGTGTACTCTGAATGTGCCCGTGTCTGATCAGGAATCACTTGGGGCTAATGGGAGAATGGTTGGCACAAATTTTGTGTGCACGCTGGTGGGAGCCTAACTATTTAAAACTTCTGTCCTGAAAGGATTAAAGGAGAGAGACAAAATTATGGTAGGAGAGGAGAAAAACCCAAGCTAGCAAAAGGACGCCATTAGCAGTTCTTTGTATTCTATGCTACTCAGATCAGCTTTCCAAGCACATGCAATTTGCAGGGTCTACTCCCCCTTCAAGAGAGACCAAAGATATAGTTTTCCCTAGAGCACTTGGAAATCGAGTGTCATTGTCAGAACAAGAGATATGCCCTTTGCATTTGTGGCTGAACCCAGGTTTGCAAAAGTGGTATCCTTGCCTGGGAAAGGCAGCCATGTTACACAGATGTCACTCACCAATTGGCTGAGTTGTTCCACTTATCTCCTGGGAGATGCCAAAACTCACAGCATGATTCTTCAAGAACCACCTGCAAGGCAAAGGGTAACCAGAGGGTTACCAGAGGGTCCTCCCTGAGCAGTCCTGTCCTCAGTCCATCTATCAGAGAGGACCTCACATGAGCAGGAAAAATGTTCTGTCCCATGCGAGCACTGGAGCTCATGTGGAGCGTGCCCAGCATGGCCAGTCCAGTAATCCCTTGCAGTGGTGCTACTGGGCATGGAGGGCAGTCTGCATCTTGTGACTGCAGCCTTGAGTGTGCCTTCTGCATCCTGCAGAACAGGATGATTTTGCCAGCCCATAGAAGAATTTCACTGTAGGAGTACAAAAGGAGCTGCAGGTGTCTCTGAGGCTCGGCCAGATGTCTGGCATGAGGCCCCATGTTGACTGGCATTACCTAAGCCTTGGGTTATGTTTTTTCTACCGTTATTCATTTGTAAACTCCAAATAACTCAATGACCTAAGTTAATATCATACCTGAACAAAATCAGAATTAAGTCCTTCGTCCATCCCACGAACAGAACCTGAACTGGTTCCAGTGGCTGTATATACTGTGTAGGTCCTTACGAAATTATGCAGCCCTTGCCTGCTGTCAGAGGCAAGAGCAGTTCCTTATCCCAGACTTGGTGTTATGCTGCTGCACCAGGATCAGGAATCAATTTTGGCTTAATAGGACATAGGACAGTATGTAATAGAACAGTCTACTTACTGGTAAAATGGGTGAGGTACTGGTTCTAGAGCTGTAACAGGCACCAGACCCCGTTGACCTGTCAATAAGGACATCCCTTCCCACTTGGACTCTTCTCCAATGTTCTTCACCTGGATCAGCTCATTCTTGTGGAGCCTCAGGCCATCCTCTCCCTCCCCCTCTGGCTGGCAGACACTGGGCACTGCCCTGGAAAAAAAGTTACCTGCAGATAGAAAGAGTCACGCCTCGGTCAACTGCATCAGTGCAAGATGGAGCCTGTAACAGAGCTACAATACAGTCCTGCTGTATTTGAGGAAGACCATACACATCTGCTACTCCTCACCTTCCTGGAGCAGCAAACCCAGATATATGGTGGCCAGGCAATCTTCATTTACAGTAACTTTGATCTCAGTATCCTCCATCAGAGCACAGTTTAGCCAGTACACCTGGTCAAAGAGAAGCTGCTCCAAGCAGCTGGCCACATAGCCTAAAAGACCAAACGGGGAAAGCAGTGTTAACGTATTCCTTCCCCAGAATAGCTGGTGTGCTCTTTGAATGTCTCCCAATCCACCATTTGCAACCACGTTATGAGGCAACAGCCTCTAATTCTGCCCCCATTCCCACCAGGTGCAGTAGAGGGATTACCTAAAGGCCCTCTCCCGTGTCTTTTTCTCTGAGCTAGACCATGGCTTCATAAATCTGTAGATGGTCACCAAGGTCTTTTAACCCACATTGCTTCCTCTTTAAGCTGCCTGCCCTGCTACATTACTGTGTCTTTGGTGTGACAGAACACCTTCTCCCAAAATTCTTTTCATATTGACTCTTTGTATCTCCCACACCCTGCTTCACGTCTTGAATACATTACCTAACGTAAGATATGTGGAAAATTTCCAGATTTCTTCTAGGGTTTTGAAGGTGAGGAGGAATCGATCCTCCTGTGCTTGCACACAGACCAGCCTGGCTGACAGCTCCTACGCAGAGAAGATAGTAACAATAAGGGAAAGTCCTGGGAGTCTGACAGGAGTACTTGGCAATGTGGGAATCATATTAGAGCCTGGAATGAGAACAGGGAATCATTTATTAGCATATTCCAAGCCGAAGCTGTGCAAGTTGGTCCTGTTGTCTGGGCTTAAAGGGAGGGTGCTCCAGCTGAGTCCGTCAGCCAAGAGGAATGGAGTATCTGCGGTGACAGCTCCCTATGGCGCAGCCATGTGAGGGCGAAGAAGCTGAATTTTGTCCTCCAGATGGTTTTCTCTATCTCACACACCAAAACTACTGTGCTTTTGAAATCCAGGCCCCTGAGCCATTCTGTGCAACGGGTTAATGTTTAGCCAGGACAAGGACAACTTCCAAATTGCAGCTCCAGTGGAGTCAAGAAGAAATCCAGTCCTCCTCAGACTACAACCACAAGGTGTCTGTGGCTGAGAGCAGTGACTGTGCCTTGAGGGAGAAACTCTTCCTTCACTGTTGCTGGCATTAGTTCTTCTGCACTGCTCTAGGTCTTCTGGGCAGCTCTGCAAGGAGCCCTGAGGTGCCAGGGCCTTAAAGATCTACAGAGAAGAAGAATTCAGGCCAGGGAATACCTCTATACCTGCAGTGATTTTCCTTTATGAAACCACAGTACTCCAAGAACCTCTGTGAAGCTCCAGGGATACCGCCTGAGAGGAAATCATGCTGTCCCTGCACACTTTGCCTACCTTCTATTAATCTAGGCTGATTTCCAGTAGGAGATAGGCAGTTGACCAGGGACCTAATCCTGTTACACAGCTTTGATGAACCTAGCCCTGTGCAGTGTTTGTTATTTGGCACTCACCATAGTATTAGGTGCATGATTCCTCAGGCAGCTCAGCGCCTCCAAAGTCATGTTCCTGATACGAGGTTCAGCTTTGGATCTACCTCTCCATCTGTTATTGTTCCTTTCCCCTATTGTTCCCATCCCCTACACAAAGTGCCTGTGTCCAGGGACTCATACCTACAGGGACCTTGCAGGAGCTGCTCTTTCTCTGCCAGGTTTGGTGCCCCATTATATATCCCATGCAGACCAGGTGCCTTCCGGTGGTGTACTTTCATCTGCTAGGGGCTGGGGCTCCTACCTTGAACAGAGCACAGACTTCTCTGTCATCATTCTCCAGAGCCCACAGCTTCTTTCTGGCTGCTTCCTGGAGCTGGGAATTGAGGCACCGGGAGGAGCGACTCTCAACAGAGAAGAAGAGCGAAATCTCTGGAAAAGGAAATGCACAGGGTTAAGGGGAGAAGGAACTCCATGCAGAGCCCCCTCCATCACAGACCCCCCACTGCAGTCAGTCCCACCAATGCCTCCAGCCCTCACTTGGTTACAGCGTTCAAACAACATAAGCAGATACCATCCTCTCCTTCTAGATACTAGTAACAGAGATAAGAAACTCAAGGAATGCCAGGCTGTAGTGCCAGTCCTTGCTACACACAACCACTGGAAAATCAGGTGATGCTGAAGGCAGCATCTTACCTGGTGGAAAGCCCTCCCCGACAGCTAGCAGCACTGAGGAGGTGTCTGGCAAGCCTTCTGCTGCCTCTGTAGCAGGATCACTTGGCTCTGGCTCCCCAGCGTTACCTAGCAGGGAGGTGGGACACAGAAGAGCTGCTGTCAAATTTCATGGCAGAGGTCTATGACATTCTGCCTAACCATGTCACCTGAAAGCAAAGTCCATGAGCCATACTGCAGTCCTCTAGATCTGGCTAGAGGACTGTATGAATCTGGCATCACCTTAAAATCTTGCTGACAAAGTGGAAGATCCCTGGGATTAACACGTCCTAACTACAAGACATCCTTAAAGATTGGCTTCCTCCCAGCGCTGGAGTAACCTTGAAGTGAGGAGACTCCCTTCTTGCTCTAGAGGTAGACCCTCACAGAGCACATCTGGTAGCAAGGTGACTCTGTTACAGAGAGATTTTTTTGGAGGGGATCTCAGAGTAAGAACATTTCCCCAGCACAGGAGAGCCAAGGATTTATAAAATGCTTTGCTTATTAACTTGGTAGTCAAAATAAGATTTTCTCCACTCCTGTACTGGCTGGTATCTGAAATCCAAGCCACATTTTCTCTACTTCACACATCATCAACTATTGCCAGAAAAGATTCTGGAAGTGAAACTTTAGTTGGTAATTACATTAACGATGGTTGAGGCACATAAAAATCCAGCTTGCTCTTCCACAGCTGCATTGTTTGTGGAGGGATAAGACTAAAAAAAAAAATTGTTAGTAATTAAATAGGGCTTGTAAGGCAAACATGTACCTATCTGGAGCTGGAACAGTCCAGTGACTTTAGTCACTTTTTTGACCATAACTATACTTTGAAGTTATTTTCATTTAGTCAGCTTTGCTAGTCAGTGAAATAAATTGTGATTTGCACACAGAATTATAAACCTTATTTATAGTTAGCAGGAGAAAAGAATCGCCCAAGGCTGGACACGTAATGAATGGGCTTTTCTTTCAAAGAAAAGCCTCTACATTTCATTTCTGAACAGACAGTTTCAACACACTTAACAAAAGACTTCATCCAAGAACTCTATCCCCTTCCACAGAGGTGGGAAACTGAGACGGGGAAGTGAAATGAGCCGGAGGCAGAGTTAAAACAGACCCTGGCTCCCACCTAGGCTGGGCTGGACCGCGTTTAACATGTCCCTCCTTTCCTCTCCGCCTCTGGTTAGCCCCAGACAGACACCGTTCAGCACGGCGCAGTCGGTCCATCGGCACGGCTGAGGCACCCCTCCCTTCCCCGGGGCTGGGTACCTGAAGCCATGGTCTTCTCCTGCCACCATTTTCCCCGGCGCTCGGCTGCGGCGTGCCGTAGGTGATCCCACCTGGACAGGAGCACGGGCGAGCTGGGACAGCAGCAGTCACACTCTCTGCCTGGGGAACACGGGTTGTGAGGAGAGGCATTCGGGCGCCCTGGCAGGATGCTCTTGGCCCAGGGGGTCTCCATATGATTCAAGGACAGCACATAGTGAAAGAAGGGCAGCGGGTGCAGGGCAGGTGCCGCTTGTGCTGCCACCGCCAGCAGCAGTGTGACAAGGCAGGCTGGCGGGCCCCTGCAGAGCTGGTTGCCTGGACAGGCGCCAGGCCACAGCTCGGGTGAGAGGACAAATGGGTTTGCTCCCCACCACACTCATCACTTCAGCATTTATTTTTGTTCAGGCCAGGCTCAGAAAGGGAACTGGGAGATTTTTCAAGAGGCAAATTGAAACCACTGGCAGGGAGTCATTGCCAATTGTGCCAGTGACTCATTTACCAGCCTGGTGCTAAAATATTTTGTAACACCGGTCAGGAAACTCTCCCAGGCCAACCCTAACACGGAGCCAAGCAACAGGTCCCAGGAGCAATGGGCTGTGCTCCTGGCAGCCTGGGCTGAGCGACACACAGCACCCACTGGCACCAGCACCAGCTTTCCCGGAGGATATGCAGCTGGAGCAGCTGGCCCTGAACTGCCTCCCTTCTCCATCTCATTAACACAGCCTCATTAGATCATCCGGGCTGCCTTCATGCTGGCATGGGAATTGCCTTGCAGGGCACTGTCACCTCTGCCCACTCGCCCGGAGACTTGCAGTACCCAAAGGGTCTCTGCAAGCATTGCAATGGCCCAGGGCACTCCTGGCAGTGGTGACAGGACAGGGGTAACAAGGGGGCTCCTGAAAACCCACAGCACAGGAATAAACCAATCCCCTGTGTCACCTTCTCCCCTCCCTCACCAAAATGTCTAATCTCCTTCCCCACACACCCAAACCCAGTGGAACACGCAAGTTGCCCAGCAAAGGCAGCGACCACCTCTGGAGAAGCAGGCAAGCAGCCGGAGGGAGCCAGAACGCAATGCCAGCGTCTCCTCCAGCAGCTCTGCAGCCCCAGGTCTTGCAGCCTTGCTCGGGCCAGCAGAGCCATGGCACCCCCGGGGCAGCTTACCTGTGCACCCCAGGGATAGGTCCTGGTGCCAAGGAGCCCCCCAGCAGCAGCCCATGTGTCCACCATCACCAGCAGCCCTGAGCAGGTGGTTGTTGCTG